CCTCCTCTTCCTCCTCCTCCTCCTCCTCTTCCTCCTCTTCCTCTTCCTCTTCCTCCTCTCCCTCCTCCTCTTCCTCTTCGACCTATTCCTTCATTTCTCCGTGGATCCATTGTTCTGCTTTTTTAGTAAGTTTTGCAGTAACAGTTCACCAAATCTGACTCATGTGTTAAAGCAGGGGAATAGTGTTTATAGTTCAGCAAAATGGGTGTGCTTTTTGAAAAATGGCGTTATGGTTTTGAAATTTTAGTTCAAAAGCCTGGTTATAGTGTTTTAGCAATTGAGAAAACTGTAATTTACATTTAGTACATTTATATTTAGTAATATATTTACATTTAAATTTACTTGCGCTTCTATTTAGTACGTTTACATTTATTTTTTGGTATTATATTTAGTATATTTACATTTAAAATTATTTATGTTTATATTTAGTATGTTCACATTTATATTTATTAATATACTATTGTTGAAAATATTTATTGTTTAAAATGTGTATTGGACAATTAGCAAAGTCTTTATAAGAGTTAAAGTCTTACGTTGGTGACGCTGCAGTAAACACACACAGATCCTGTAAAGATGAAGACAGCAGATAGAAAGTTTAACTAAGAAACAAAACTAATAAACATTCACTAAAACCCACAAAACAAGCAAACAAACCCTGGTTTACGCCACACAGCTTCAGTATGGAAATATGACACATTACTGTAATTCAGACTGTTGCTGGGAAACAAACAGACAGAAATATTTTGAATTGTCTCTTTTCCACGTTTATGTGATTTCAGTCAAATATTCATCATGCTTATTGAAAAGATGCAAAGAAGAAGAAAAAAAAATCAATGTAGGTCAGTGCAATCAGATTCTGACTGCATTGATTTAACCTTTGACTCGCATAGAAATATTGTACAAAATAAATTATAAACAAACCAATGAATAAATATTTTACACTTCGATAATCACAAATTATGCCACTGTAAATACTTAAATGACTAGAACAAAGGATTTAATTAATCCATAAATATTTTATTACTTACAGTGAGGTCTAGAAGTGATTTATAGCATTATGAGAAATTGATGCGTGCACAATTTCAATGTGACTAATCAAATGTAAGTGAGTGTCACTGATCATGTGACTCTTTGTTCAAACCTTCAGACTTTTACACTGAAGCTCAAGATGACAAGATCATGTCACGACAGACAAAGCAAATACTAAGAATATTTGTACTTTAAAATGTGCCACAGAAACTACAAAGTGGTTAAAACACAGGGTAAAAAGCTGAAAAATTGTGGCAGCATCTAAAATACACATTTCAATTAATACAAATACGCAGAAACGGACTCTATAATCAAAGTGACTGACATATGCAGTGTCAAAACACCTCGAGCTCCTACGAACATTTAGCCAGAATGAAACGAAGCAGCACTTACCATGTGTTTGTGGATGTGCTCTTGATGCAGAGACGCTCCTGACGCTGAGCTTCAGCAAACTGACATCAGACCAGAGCCGAGAAGGGAAGAGACGAGGTGAGAGACAAACACAGCCAATCAATACCCCTGCAAACAAAGAGCTCCATCAATTCATCAATAGATCAATAGCAGCAGCTGACGGGGGAGGAGACCAGATCAATCAATCAATCAATCAATCTAGAGAAGACGTGCATTCAGCTGCATGCATATGCAAATGTGTATATTCTAGGTCACCATTTCAGTTTTCACTTTTTAATGACCTTTTCAAGTTTTTTTTGTGACAAATTTAATTTATAAAATTACTAAGTAATTAAGTAATAAAATGAAAAAAACAAAAAAAATCTAAAATTTGAACTGAAATTTCTTAAAAATGAAAACAGAAAAATAAAAATTAAAAACTAATTCAGAATATTAACAAAAACCATCATAGTATTTCAATGATTTTCTGAAATAACACCGCTGTCTATTAATTTAAGCTCATAAAACTGTGTATAATTATTATTGTATGTCTACAAATATCAGCAAAATATTGTTTAAAATAGTGTTAGATGAAGAATAGATGCATGTCACACTGCACAGCTGTGATGTTATGAATTTATGGGTCAACTCTATTTCCACCTGAATTTAGAACAGCATACTAGCTTAATATTACGATTTTTGCCGCAGCAATCCTGTTTGTTTTTTTTTGCAATATCCTAATATAGTATGCACTGAGGTCATGTGATGATAATAAAAAATATGAAACAACAAACGTTAATAAACAATAGAATGATACATTGTTAAATGATACATTCTACTTGTTTGTTGTTGCATACTGTTTCACTTTTATTACTATTGAGAAGTGTGCAGTATTCCATTCCAAAAATAATTCATATATCATTTCAGTATTTAATTTTTCATATCCAATATGTTGTCATTGGTTTATGATCCCATGCTAAATTCAAATGCATATCTGAACTACATCTGAAATCTGTTTTCGTCAGCAGCTTTAATGAGGATGTTTGAGCGTCGCAGATGACATATTGATTGTCTCTATTGGTTTTATTGATCGTGATGATTGATTTGAAGCTCACAGGACACAGTATTGATTTCAGCACAGCCGGAGGAATATAAAGAAAGACCCAGAAACCAGAACCCATCATTTACAACAGTTTAGCATCTGCTAGCAGAAAATTACATTCACATGAAATATAATAAAACTGACAATGATTTTCAGACACATCTGTTATAATGCTGGTCCTGAGATTGTTTAACAGAAGAAAACAAAAACATTAGATTTTTTATTAAATATAACTATGATTTCATCAGTTGGATATGAACTGAGAAATTAATGTTAACAATTTGACATGCACAAAAGCTTTGGTTTCATATATGCATATATTACGTGTAGTTATGAAAATACAACCACTTTAATATGTGCATATTTTACTATTTAAACATATTCTCACGGTTTGTTTTCTGCCGAATTGTTTAATTACTTACAGGAAAACAATCTCTCCTTCTGAACAAAGAAAATTATGCACACCAGTCCACCTCAAAATCCAAAAGCAGTCCTCTCACGGATCAATAACTGATCAATGATCAATAACTTGCCTCAAATGAGCCATCCATCCATCTATCTAGTTTATTTGAGTATCATTGATATATCATAATAAGATTTATTAATATTGTGAATCAGTTTTTATTTTTGCATTTTTGTATTTGTATATTTTTATACAAAGTTTAGTCATTTTGTTGTGTGTTTTTGTCATTTTAAGCAGTTTTGGAGGGTTTTCATATACAGGTGCATCTAAAAACAAAATTTGAATATCGTGAAAAAGTTCATTTTTTTGTAACATTTCAAAAAGTGAAACTTTCATATATTTCATATATTCTAGAATAGAAATTCTAGGTTCTATTCTAGAACCAAAAATCAGAATTGTGAGAGATAAAGTCGCAAATTACCTTTTTATTTTTTATTCTGGTGGAAACAAAAAACAGAATTGCAATATGTAAACTTGTGAAGAAAAACCCCTCAGAATTCTGAATTTATATCTCTCAACTCTGTTCTTTTTTTTTTCAGAGAACTGCTAGAAAAAAAGTCAGAATTACTATCTTTTTTATTTTTATTTAGTGGCGGAATTTAAGAAAAAAAACATTTGCAAGAGGTAAGCTGGGAGCAAGAATTCTACATTTAATTGATCTCAGAATTGTTAGAAACAAAGTCCGAATTGTGAGATGAAAAATCTCACAATTTTATATTTAATTCCATGACCAATTTCCATAAATTCCAGCACAATGCAAGTTAAATGAGGCCTAGGAGCTTAAGAGGCATCTTCTCTTCAATTCTGAATGATGCTCAATGCGTTTATAACATTATATGAATTTCTGAAAGAAAGCAGAAAATGGAACAAATGTAGAAATCGTGTGAATGCTACGGCTACTTTAACTTTCCTGAGCTCTGATACAAACCCTGAAATAACCTCCAGAGGAAGAGAGGTGCATCATTAAACAGCTGACCGCTTCTTCCATGCGTCCTGTCATTCTAAACCACATCACAATGGACCTTGAGCCGCATGTGTCTGTGTCTGAGGGATCATCATCTACCTGTCACTTCCTAAACAGGGCATGTGTTATTTATATCGGCCAGTAGACAACAGCATGCTTAATCTACAAAAGGCCGTTCCTCCGCGCCCCAATGTCCGGCTGCACTCGGGATCTCCTCCGTCCAGCAGCGCTCATGGTGAGTAACACCGGCTTCACCGGGATTTAGAGATGCTTCGTGAATCACCCGGACATTTGATTGAGCCAGATTTTAATTAGCGATCAACCGATATATCGGCCAGCGCCATTAATCGGCTGGACCATTTTGAGATGATATTTGACCATTTTGTGTAACTTCCAAAATAATATTATTTTCCATAATATCCATAGTCCTAATGTACTTTTTTTTTTTTTCAAAATGTTTTTTTTTTGGTTTAATATTGAGTTCATTTAATAGTTAGCACCTCATTTGATGCGTTAATCTTTTTTAAATATTTAATATAAGAACTGAAGCAATGCAAATCTAATTAAAATAATCAAGGTAGATTATCCCATTGTTTTTTCCACCTAAATTAATACAAATAATAACCATATTTAAACATTCTCATTTTAGGCTCCAGTATAAAAATATATAACACTCAGCTACATGTTTTTTTGCTAAAATTAATGTTATGAAAAATGCAAAAATATAAGTAAAATAAAATTATAATTTCAAAGTTGGAGCACAAAAAAACAAAAAAACAATTTCAGTCTTTCTTCTTCAAATGTTCATGTTTAATTTACGGTTAATTACCATTTCTTTGTAATTAATCGTGAAATTTACTAGCAATTGCTAAGTGAAAAATATTTTTTACATAAAATTTCTATAAGTGTGTCCTGGCAGAAAATCACAAGTACATTTTCTGTTCAATTTACTCAGGCCTACATTTACTTTAATCTTAAAATTCAACACAATGCGATTTGTAATTCTAAATATTTGTAAAACACTTGTGAAAATTTTTTTTTTTCAGATTAACATGCAAACTGGGTCTTATTTGTTTTTACAAATGTTCTTAAAGTGTGTCTAAGACGTTTGAGTGATGCTTCAAATGAATCTCTGAATCTGCGTTTTTAATTGATTCATTCAGAGTTTGAGCTGATTCATGGAAGTGAATCAAACTTTAAAGCAGCTTTTCTTACTAAAGCTTGAATAAGAAGGGAAAAACTAGTTCTTTAGGAAACTGCTCGAGACGTGTCTAACTAAAGATGACCTGAATGTTTGTTTTTCAGGCACCAAAGAAAGCAAAGAAGAGGGCGGCAGAAGGAGCGAACTCTAACGTCTTCTCTATGTTTGAACAGGCTCAGATCCAGGAGTTCAAGGAGGTCTGATCACTTACCGTCATGTCTGTCTCTGTCTCACCTTAACCAGCATCCTTACAGGAATAGTTCATCCAAATTAATATTCTGTCATCATTTATTCACCATCATGTGCTTCCAAACATGTATGACTTACAGAGAGTCAACAGAGGCTGTCAGAATCCCAAAAAGACTAAAAACATTAGCACATAAAAGTTTCATGATATGAAATTTCATGCCCTCTGTCTTATGATGCTTTGTGTGAGGAACAGACCCAAATTTATGTTGTTATTCACATATATAAAATCACATATAAACTTCCTATAGAATTATATTAGAATATTAGAAATTTTATAGGCCTATTAAAATTAATTTAAAAAAATGTATAGATTATAAATAATAGCAATATATATCGTAAAATATTATTTTATTTAATCCAATTTTTTAAAGGATTTTTTAAAAACATGTTTTATATATAACTGTAAAATGGCAGATGTGTCAAAATTATATCAATTAAAATTCAAAATTATATAAAATAAAACTACACACACACACATATATAGTAGTTTTATTTTATATAATTGATATAACTTTTTAAAGATTTTTTAAAATATAGGTTTATGTATATATATTAGTGCTGTCAATAGATTAATCGCATCCAAAATAAAAGTTTTTGTTTACATAATATATGTGTGTGTACTGTGCATATTTATTATGTATATATAAATACAAACACATGCATGTATACATTTCAGAAAAATATGTTATATTTCTATATTAAATATATTTATATACATATTATAAATTATATAAATATATACATGTAAATATTTTCAAAATATACTGTATATGTGTGTGTATTTATATATACATAATAAATATACACAGTACACATACATATATTACATAAACAAAAACTTTTATTTTGGATGCGATTAATCTTTTGACTGCACTAATATACAATATATATATATAGTATTATTTTAATTTATATACTTTAAATATTTTTAAAGAATTAAATATTTTATATCATTCTGAGGAATTTTAAATAGATTATATGTGCTAGATTGTGTATATTTATTTATTGTTTTCTCTCCTCTCAAACAGGACTCATTTAGACAAAACCTCAGATTGAAAAAAATAATAATAATTTTTCAGTGACACCAAATAGTTTAATTTCTCACATCCAGCCCAAACAGCTTTGAGTTTTTTTTCTTTTAACCCAAATTTAAATATGCAAAAGTGAATATGATTGAAATGTGGACATTAATCATGGCAGTATTTTTGTTTTGGGATGAGCTGAAGAGCGCAGCTGCTATTGTTTGTGTGTTTCTGCAAAGCTCCTGTGGAATCTGATATTCCCGTCTGATCCCTATTGAGGGCTGATATATGTATTTATAGAGACGCTCCTTAACATACTGGATTCACTGAATTCTGTCAGGATAACTGGCACATGTGTAGCATTGCCAGGGTCTGTGGAGGACAATAGCTTCTCCTCAGATTAACAGTGATCTCACTGAATCAGTGACGTCTCAGACAGAGAGCCTCTGAGCAGTGACGTGTTCCTCTGGGTTTATTTGCAGGCATTTACCATCATGGACCAGAACAGAGACGGATTCATTGACAAGAATGACCTGAGGGACACGTTTGCAGCTCTAGGTTGGTTTGGCAGGTTTGAGTTTATACCTTATTGTTCGACGCGGAAGTAAGCCGCTTTCTGTGAGTGTGCGAGACTTCCGGTTCATTAGCCGCTTTAGGAAAATAACGAGAAGAATAACAAAGTGCAGTGAACGGTAAAACTGTTTGCACTACAAGCCAGTGTGTTCATAATTAAGATAATACATCAAAATAATATGGTAAGACAAACCAATTTGCAATATCAATCAGCAAAACGAGCAGTTTTGTACAGCTAAAAATAGCTGGATGCGGATGACACCGGAAGCAAGACCCATAACATTTACAAATGGACATGACCGCTCTTACGGGAAGAATAAGGTGGATAGATTAATTCAGTTTAGTCTATCCACTAAATCCAGATTAATACAATATTATATGTATGTATGTATGTATGTATGTATGTATATATATATATAT